GTGGTGGTGGTGGTGGTGGTGGTGGTGGTGGTGGTCATGGTGGTGGCGGCGGTGGTAACGGCAGCGGCGGCAGCGATAGCGACGACGACACGACGACGACGACGACCATGACGTTTTATCGCTTGACGTTTGTCTCTTTAGATGCTTTTCATACTGGCAATTGCATATGAGTATTGTCGAATACCGTTTGCATGAACGTTAGTTTTAACGACGATAAAAGCCTGTAGTATTACGATTTCATAGTATTAATTTCAGGATATTATTTCGTATGGCTGCACTGGGTCAAATACTATTTGCTCGATAAATCGAAAGGAACGGCAAAGTTTTCGATTAACATAAGATTATTACCCCCAAGGATTATACGCCGAGGACGCATACAATTTTTAGAGCAATTAAAGTTTAATTGATTTCTTAATACTCGATGCGCTTGATATTTCATTTGTTTTTTCATTGTGGTCTGTGGTCCTGTTTTTTTTGTTTGTTGTTTTTATGTTTTTTTTTGTTGTTGTTTGTTTTAATTTCATTCAATTTTTAACGATGGTAGAGTCGCACAAATACTACATACCAACAAGTATTATCATATCGTATGTGCAAGCTTGTGTAGCGATTTTAAAAATGATTTCATTTGTATGTTAGACCAATTCGTCGCCAATTATCGAAAAAATGAAAATTTCGTTTATTATTGAGATGCACGTTGTTTCATAGTACTTAAAATCAATGTGATTTATAATTAATTATTGTTAAATCATTAATCACTGTAATATAAATAAAGTTATTCTATATTTAGGATTTAGAAAAATTTGGAAAAGAAAAAAAGTAGATGTAATTCACTTATTAACAAATAAAAACAATGTCAATATTATTTAACGTTACTCTTTAAATTTCCATAGTTTTAGCATTGCATCGTATTTGTGCATTTTACATTTGTGCTTTGAAAAATATTCGTCTAATATGCTGCAACGCTGAAGATGGAAAGTTTAATCATATTTATTGAGCTTTGAAAGGATTCAACGTACGCCTAATTCAATTAACCTTATCTCTTTAATAAATAAATAAATTAATGATTTTAATCGATATATTAGTAGGACAAATAACGCATGAGTTTTAAGCTGACCTATACCAAGCCACTTTTTATTTTTTCGAATTCGCGATCAAACCTATGCTCGATAAGAAAGCACGCAATTCGGAGTGAAAGTAAATAAAGCAAGGGGACAACTTCGTGCTGTGATCTTCCAGAAATTGATGACGTTCATAAAAGTCGGCTACACGATGATGATCATCACGCTCATATTGATGTTTTGGACGTCAATCGTACGGATGCATGAATTGCCAGTCCAGTATCCACCCTGTTTCTTCAATCCACTGTGCACTTGCTCGAAAGTCATACCGGATCTTGGTATCGTCACTTGCTTCAATGTGCCCATGCCTCGTATACCTCATCCCATCAATGCTTCCAAGGTTTTCATGCTCCAGCTTGAGAACAACGGACTGCGCTCGTTACAGCCACACTTTCTTATGAATACCGGTAAGAGATACTTCTTTCTCCTATCCGCATATCATATCATTCGCGATGAATACATGAATTATTAATATTTTAATATGTGCTCGCATGCCTCATAGATCATTAATAGTGAGCTCTGTATCCGCCATATATGATGACATTAAATTCAATGTTATATCGTTTAATTAGCTGTAGCTTGAAAAGTATTCTTCTCTATCGTTGGCCCGAAAGTAATCGAATCTGATGGGCACTGATTACATAAAATCGTTTCTTTCTCAAAATACGTAAAATTAATAAATTACAATACTGATTAATTTTTCAATTAACGCCATGTAATAGCAATGTCCTCTCCTATCTTACATGCATCTTACATATCGGTTTTACGATTTCACTCGTAATTATATATGTCTAATAATATATGGGCGTATGCATGTGATATGATATTTTGAAATTATGATAATGTACGATACTATAATGTAGGAAGATAATTTATAGATAATATTTACAAATTACGCTGTTAGTCAATTTAATTGTGAAAGGATTGAATTTTATTTAAAATACTGAAACTTAATTGCCCAGCTTGTAAATTATGTTTTTAAGACTTTTCAGTATTTTAAAAGAGATTTTAAAGAGAGTCCCTTTTAATTCTGCTAAGGTAAGCAAACTTCTTTTATAAGTCAAACATCTCGATTATATAATTTTTATATCATTTTAATTCTTTGTTATTTTCTTATCGAAATAATAGCTTACAAATTACTGTCAGTAATTATAGATGTAAACATCATGTAAATTAACATCATATAAAAAGCAATATTTTTACCTGTTGCTTTCACTCGATACTGATTCATAAAAATAATAATTATTAACTTCTATAACAAAACAATCGAACAATTCATTCTTAGATGCTAATGCCTTCAAATTTTCCACGCGCATTAAAATATCTGTGTATTCTGTTTGTAATCTATCGTCGATATTGTAAATGATTTCAATAAATAGAGACAAACAGAGAGAGAGAGAGAGAGAGAGAGTGAGAGAGAGATCGTTTAAATATAAAAACTTTTCATATTATTAAATGATAGCTTATAAATTTATTAATTATAATGTTTCATAATTAATATCAATTACTAAGATTCAATAATGTTATGTGCAATATTTGGTTTTGTTAATTAACACAACTTATGTACACAAAATTTAACAAAATTTTAGTTAAAAATCTCATTTGAATTTTGAAAAAATGTATCTATTTTCATTTATTTAAAAATAACATTACTCTTTCTATCGTCTGATTCTAAAATGAAGAAATATTACTTAAAATAATACGATGTTTAAGAATCTCTTATGAATCTTAAATATTCCTTGTTTTACGTTATCTGTAAATAATAATTATTAATTAATTCTACCATTAGTTTTATTTTTCTTACTTTAAATTCCGTTTACTGATGAACAAAAAAAATGCGATTTCTTAGTTATTGGTGTTTCAGTAAATGAAAAATTAAATACCATATTACTTATATTAACTTGTATATTACTTATTATAATATCTGCACGTCTACTTATAATACCGAAAAAAAAAATATAAATATACAGATAATAAAATATATTTATAATGAAATTTTAATTTTTGTTTTTTCTTATTATAACTAATGGTTTTCGTAAACATAATTTTATTATTTTTAACGCTAATTTTTAACTTTTAAAGCACATTTTCACCTTACCTTTTATATCAGATCATTGATTGAGGTAAAAGAAAGATATCATATTAGAAGCGAAAATATGTCTAATTTAATATAAAAATTACATGCAGCATAAAATATTTAGTAATGTAATGTACATTTGCTTATATTTCTTATTTCTAATTATATTTGAATATAATTGATTATTCAAGCATACATATTACTTTGAGATACGCATATTTTAATTACGAACATATATTATCTTAAGCACATATATTTTTATCTTAAAAATGAAAACCTAATATTGATATAATTTGTAATTTGTGAATAGGTATAAGTAAATGGGAAAAAACTTAGGGTAAGGATTAATTTTAGTATTTCAAAATAAGATTGAGCAAATATTGAAAAGTCTTCATTGAGGATAGAAATAAATATTCAACGCATATTAAATTACCAATTTATTTATATTTGACAATAGATAAAAGCTCATCTTTGTGATTAAGAATATCGATTTTACAATATCAGATACAATTATTCTTGTGTGGTATTGTCGCTTAATCATTCATTATGAATGAATAAGTTAACGATCGTTAATACAATAAAATGATCTTTATATAATTAGCCTCTGCTTAAGTATGTTGATTGTTTCAATTACTATTCTTGCAAGACGAAAAAATAATTCTACTAATGAATATTATATATAAATTTATAGTTTGTGTACTTACTTTTACTATAAGAATGTAAGATAAAAAAAAAATAACAACGTTAAAATTATTTATCAATAATGATTAATTAATTGAGTAATGTGAACAATTTTCAGATACCTAGTCGATGTAGAACAAAGAGTATATAATGTAACGTTGAACATTTTTTTGACAGAAAGAACGTTAAGACAATAAAAAGCTATTCTATATTCAGAATTGAATTGTAATTGTAGGTCTTCAGAAGTAAAGTAGCCTGGCTTTCTCGTAAGAGAGAAAGATTTTTATCATTCTACGTACTGATTTATTTTTAAAATATTTATACTAATACGTATTAATAAAATTATTATTGTCACACATACATGGATTTCATAGTGAATATATGACATTGTCTCAATACCTAATCGGCAGTGCGTTTTCATTTTAATAAATTAGACTGCGTTTGTAGTTGATAATTTTAAGGGAATCGATATATTTATTAATATATAACTTTTTCAATATCAATCGAGCTCTTTATAAAATTTATAAATAAAGTAAATTTTGTTTTTAATATTGCTGAAATATGACATTAATTATCCGTAATTTATCTTTCATAATAATAAGCATTAATCAGAAATTTCGAAAAACCGTACAATTATAATCAAGCAAATATAAAAGCATAAATAACTTTCCTTCGCGTGATATCAGCTACATAAGTAAGTACTATTTATTTGGTAAAGAAAATGGTTGGAAGAGGGTACTAATAAAAAAGACAACTGTATTATAATGTTTAATTCTCACGTATTTATATATATATATATATATATATATATATATATCTCCAAGTTTGTGTTGATATGTGCATGAATATTCTGTGCAAAAATTCTGTGGACGAATGAGCTGAAAAGACAGACTCGCTCAATTCACGATCGGATCCAATTTTACAAAAAGAAGGTGTATAGAGCAATATTAATCAGCACCTGAGAGCCAATGAAAACAATTGTCACAGTTCTTACCTGGGAAGGACATTAGAAATACCAAGAGTTCAATTTAAAAGACAAAAAAAAAAGAATGATAGAAGAAGCATCCAACACCAACGAGATAAAGTAATTGTGAGATTCGAAGGGATGTACAGATGTACCGACAGCGAGTATTAATCCCAATAAATTAAAAGACTCTCCTACGTATTAACGAGATGCTTCTGAAAAATAAACAACTCACAGAATTTTCGATAAGATACATTCGTAAGAGATTAAAATTATATCGTAAATATGGTATGCCTTAACATTGTCTCATTCTTACTTTTCACTAGAATATTAATAACTTTCTTTACATTTCTTTTAAGAATGAAGAGAATATGAATATGAAAAGAAGAATCTCTTAATTTCGACATTTCTTTTAAGCATAAAATTAAACCTTTTAAATATATTCCTTTAGAATATTGCTGCAAATAGTGATTGGTTTTTAAAATAAAATCTCAAATTGAATCAAATTACTAATTATCATTTTAAATTGTTTCCCCCGGACATATATAAAAATGCTGAATAAATCTACTCTTAAATAAATATAACAATAATAATTATTATTAATAATTGTGGGTCTCGAGGAGCAAGAGTCTCGACTATGCTGATCTTCATCCTCAAATTTTAAACTATCATTGTTCAGGCGCCATTCTCACACTTTGTCAAACCCTTTAAAGTTAATAATTCATTTGTAAAGTGACGATGAGAAAATGCATCGAGTGTGCTTTATGTCTCAGGTCTATATAAGCTGCAGATCAAGTATAATCCCCTATCGGATATACCGGACGAGGCGTTCCTAGGGCTTGAAAGATCGTTGTGGGAGCTTGAACTACCCTACAACCGTCTTGTCCGAGTACCGAGCAAATCATTCAGACATCTGCAGAAGCTGCGACTTCTCGATCTAACAGGTAGTTCCCTAATTTTCCTTTTCACCCTGAATTATCGATTAATGGCAGTCTCGCGTTAGCTTTATCAAGACTTTTAATCCAATTCGATTTCTAGCAAATTATTAATGTCGTATTCGAATTATGAGTCATGTGACCCAATGATGTTTGGAGTCAACTTCCGGTGTGGCTTGGCAATGTAAATTCTGGCTTCGCCTATTTTAATTATCATAAAGTCAATTATAGATTAGAGATAGAAAAGAATTGTAAATTGTTTAATGATATATACTAATTTGTATTGTTTTTTTTTTTTTTTTTTTTTTTTTTTTTTTTTTTTTTTTTTTTTTTTTTTTTTAATATTGTCTCTTATTCTAAATATTATAACGAACGAGACTACTTCATAACGTTTAATTATGTTCGATTGATTTTATTATTAAATTTATAAGCAAAAAATTGTCAAATATTAAACGAAATTAAAACGTTAAAAAAAATAATAATAATAATAATCATAATACGAATGAAAAGGAAAACATACAGGAAAGGGAGACGACATTTTTACATCATTTTGACGTTTATGAGGCACGTAATTGCAAGGATAACGTTGACACTTACTTGTCTTGTATCATAGGCAATCACATATCTCACATAGCCGCGGATAATTGGCGAGGATTGGAAAATTCCTTGCAGACATTACGCATTGGCCGTAACTCTATCGACAAACTGCCTGCCGATGCATTCGCTGGTCTAGCTTTCCTCGAGTATCTCGATTTACGGGAAAATAGTCTCAAAGAAATAGATCCCTCCGTATTTCGCGACGGCATGGCCCATTTGGCCCATCTCTATCTCAATGATAATCAGCTCAATGTTATACCCTACACACAATTGTCGTCCTTGAAGCGAATGAAGGTGCTCGACTTGAGCTACAATCGCATCTCTAAAATGATACATCCACAATTGGAGGCGGAGATAAAGGGCGTGCATATGTCATTAGATGTCTTAAGACTGGATTATAATCAAATTGATTTATTGATACCCGGATCATTTCAACACTTTCAAAAAATCAATAGAACTTATCTCAATGGGAATCCAATTACGATGATCGAGGTGAGACAAGCATCGGAATTTAATGAACTTGATATAAAATTTTTAAATTAAATATTTATATGCATATATATATATATAGTAAGTGGTGGGGGGGGGGAGAGCAAAAAGTTAATATACTATTAGGTGAAAAATATAAATTTATAAATTGTTGACAAAAGATCTATTGTAATGTTAATGAATTTTATTTGCATCACAACGAGAATTTATTCGCTCGATACATACCGATTACAGTAATTTTCATACTATTTGTAAAATGTATCTTTGAATCGCATATGATACAATATATTCCGATAAATTTTTATTTTTAAAATCATGAAATATTTGTTATTTTTGTGCTATAAAATATTGGAATATTGGAACCATCTGAGACAGTTAAAAAATATTATATTAACTACAAGTGTTATTTTGAGAAACGATAAAAAAATATTAAATAATTCTTGTAATTTATACGGCAAGTTTAAATAATTTTTTTAATAAAAACTAATTGTTAAATTGCCAATATAGTGGGAGTATTATAATTTGCATTTTTAAGATTATGTTAAGGTTAGGACAAACGGAATTCCGATTGTATCGATGTATTTATTATAATAAAGTCCTAAATGTCCGTATTAATTTGCTTATTAAGTAGCAGAGAATTCTTTGCTTTATTTTTAATAATCTCTGTAATAATTATGTGAATGTTCAGCAAGGGACATTTAAAGACTCAAGGATTCGAGAACTTTACTTGACCGATTGTGATTTGTATGATATCGATTCGTCTGACTTTATGGGATTAGAATCGTCTTTGGAGCTTTTGGATCTTTCTGGCAATAATTTAACATCGCTACCAAATCACATATTCCAGCAATATGATTATCTGCGCACGCTGATCTTTCGAGAAAATCGGATCCAAACTTTCAATCCAAGTATAATAATCCTTTTAATAAAGATTGTCTAAAGTTGTTTCGAGCTTCGATTAAAAGCTGAGAAACAATATATTTTTGACCTCTTGAGAAAATGTTTTTCTCTCATTTCTGCTCGAGGCTAAAGGTAGTAGTAGGTCAATTGAAAAGTCTCAATTATAAATAATTGCACTGTTATAGGTGAAGTATTTAATGGATTTCAGTATTCACTGTATAATCTTGATCTTAGTGGAAATAAAAATGGCATTATATCGCTTCAAGACTTACGCCAGATGCGCAATTTACGATTTCTGTCAATATCGAAGATGCCAGGGACAACATTGTCGGCAGAAAACTTTTTAGAATTTGGAATGGACATTAAGGAGCTTCATGTTGTTCAAAGTAATTTACAAACGATCAAGAATCATGCCTTTATGCACGTGCGTGGAATAAAATATTTAGATTTTTCGGAAAATGCTATTTCGACGATCGAAGACAATGCTTTTACAGAGGTGATGTATTATTAGTTTAAATTTCATTCAATGCGTTATTAATATTTCCAATACAAAGTACCAATGCATAAGCATTATTATCCCATTGTGGATTTTGCAAAGTAAAAAAAATGATTAAGAGTCGTTCAATTAAAGAAATAAAATTTAAAAAGGAAACTTAAATTTTGCTTATTTACTATGAGCGTATGGAGAAATTAATTATAGCATAAGTAATAATATTTTTCATTAATATTTTACGACGATTTAAAAAAATGTAGATGTATTTTAAAGTTAATATATTTATATATTAATAAGGTGGGGAATTCTTTAATGACACTGAGAATTGCACACGGACTTGCTCCATCAACACGCGAATTGCCAAGCAAATCATTCAAATCATTGACAAACTTACAGCATCTGGATTTGAGTAATAATAGGATCCGTACGATGCCGGATACGTCATTTCACTTTTTAAAAAGAATAAAACGTATCGAGCTGCAAGATAACGAAATAGATTCTATACAGAAAGGAACATTTCAGGTAAGTAGCGCAGAGAAGGAGGATTCTATCAACTTATTTAACGGTAATTATAAATATTCATATTTTAGGGAGATATTCATTCAACGTTGGAGGACATCAATTTGGGATATAATCGTATCAACAATTTAGCTACGCATACGTTTGTTGATTTACCATCGCTTAGTACGATAATTCTCGAGGATAACTTAATTAATAACATAGAAAGGCGCGCTTTCATGAACATGAATCGCTTAAAGTACATTAATCTACGGGGGAATAAAATAAGGGATATGCAGAACGAAGCTTTTCAGGTAAATTTGTTAAATTAGCATAAGCTCCATTACTAAATAATTACAAAATTAATTCCAAAATACGTTATTTTATTTAGAATCTACCAGATTTAGAATTTTTAGACTTGGGCTACAATGATCTATTTGAATTTGACTTTGGATCCTTTGATCAAGTCGGGACATTATCATCGTTTAGAGTTAATGCCAGTCACAATGAAATTCACAGATTAACCGTTAATAGCTCTTATTCGGCAAACACTAGTAAGCAATTGAATTTGACTCTCTTCAAATTAATTTCAATCAATCAAATGCTTATTTACTTTGTAGTAGGTGGACTTATTCAGTCAAATATAAAAGTATTGGATCTTAGTTACAATAACATATCAGAAATTATGCGCTATTACTTCAAACCCGTGGAGTACTCCCTAACTCATTTATACCTTTCGCACAACGAGCTCAACAACATAACTCAGGGTGTATTTGGCAATATGCCGCACTTACAGTGGCTTGATCTTAGTCACAATGATCTGATGGAAATGGACTTTGACTGCTTCAAAGAAACGAAGAACCTCCAAGTGCTTATATTCTCTTACAACAATCTCATGGACATACCGGCTGAGTCATTCAAGCCATTAAAGAAATTGAGGATCGTTGATCTCTCGCACAATAGGCTCCGGACGCTCGCGGATAATTTATTCACCGATGCAAATATTGAGCATCTAGACTTATCTCATAATCAATTTATGAGGCTTCCGATCAAGACGATGTCAATATCCGCAGCTGTCAGCTTATCAATTCTTAATTTGTCGTGGAATTTTCTTTCCGGAGTTCATAATACCGATGCCATTTTTAGACTGAGGGTACAGTATAAATTAATCGACAATTCGATTGATTTTTGAAAGTTATTAATTAATTTATTTTATCATCTATATTGATTTTCCTTTCATTGCCACCACTCTCTCTCTCTCTCTCTCTCTCTCTCTCTATCTATCTATCTATCTATCTATCTATCTATCTATCTATCTATCTATCTATCTATCTATCTATCTATCTATCTATCTATCTATCTATCTATCTATCTATCTATCTATCTATCTATCTATCTATCTATCTATCTATATATATATATATATATATATTATTATTATATTATCTTGTGACGAAAAATTAAAAATGAAAAATTACACAATACAATTGATATTGTGAGTGTTAATTAATGTATTAACGAGTGCTAAAAGCGTTATAATTTCATATGTCAAATATCGAAAATGTAAATATACATAAACCTTATTTTACTCTTTCTAGCATGCGGTTCGAATCTAATTAGTGGCTAATTAGACTAGGTCAAATATATTTCTACCTTGCTTAGTAAATGTCGCTTCGTTGGATGATTCGACGAGCGTAGATATTTCATTAATACAATAAGCTAATTGACCTTTATAAATCTGTGACACGCGCATTCAATACGTTTTATTGAGAATTGCTATTATTGTATTTTATTTTTATGCCCAATGTCGGTCGTTGCTGCTTATTTCACAAGAATACCCAAAGCGAATGGAATTTCTATTGCAATAATACAACTGTTGCATTGTTATTTTGCAATTTTTAGGGTTTGACATGTCTGGACTTATCCTACAATCGACTCGTTAGGTTGGATGATGGAGTTTTCTCGGACTTACCACACCTATCATACCTTGATTTAAGTCACAACAAACAGCTTATACTGGAACCTCGAGGAAGGACGTTTCATGGCTTAGAGAATGTATTATTGTTTCTTGGATTAAGCAATATTTCATTACTTTCGGTATGAATTAGTTTCTATAATTTATCTTTTCCATAATAATGGCAAATATTGAAAATTTTGAAGGTAGGACAATCGATACTAAAACTTGATTATTAAAAGAAATTTTAGTCATACACACACGTACGTACTTTATGAATTACTAAAGAAAATATAAACGAATAAAAATTTATTTAAAAATAATAATAACAACAACAACAACAACAACAATAATAATAATAATAATAATAATAATAATAATAATAATAATAATAATAATCATGTCTATATACTAATATAATAATATAATGCATAAATATTATGTGACGTGTACAATAGGTTACGTATGTTGACATCGATACTCTAAAATCATATTATTACAAAACTTTTTCTACATAATTGTGGCCTTAATCATGCCAGGAATATATCCATTAAAAAATAATCAAATAAAATCATGTAACATTTTTCTATAATTACAATTAAATACTTACACTTCACGCTTAGTAATGCTATTGTTGATATAAAAATAGCACAGTGGAATGAGAAGTTAAATTCCTTTTCGATATATTTTAGGTTCCAGAGCTCCCATTCCATCGACTACAAAGGCTTCAATTAGCACACAACGAGCTGGCATCAATTCCAGCGGAGATGGCATCGAATTTGTCGAGCCTTCACTTACTAGATTTGAGCCACAACGATTTGACCGTTGTTCCACTTATTACTCATGCTTTGCCGAACCTAAGGATATTCAACATTGCCTATAATCCAATCACGATAATCACAAACACGAGCTTTCTCGGTATCGCTGATACGCTCGAGCAGCTCGACATTCGTGGTCTTCATCTCTCCACATTCGAGGTTCGTTCGAATTGATATTTTACAAACATTAACATATTATATACAATGTGTCTACAATTCTGTATTTTTTTTTTTTTTTTTTTTTTTTTTTTTTTTTTGTTTAATCAAGGATTTACTCGTGACATGTAATGCCTGAAATATTTATTTTACTCGTGTTATATTTTTTATGCAGAACGGAGCTTTATGTAAGGCATCGAAACTTCGCAGACTTTTATGCACCGTGTACACTGGAATTAAACGCTTCAACTTCCCAAATCTTTTGGCACATAACCATGGATTGAGGCACTTATTAATTCACGTAAAGCAATTTAATTATTATTGCCACTATAATTAAGCCTGTAAATATAATTCAAATGTTTATCAATAATGCATTTGTTTCGCCAATGTTAAGCTGATGTTGTAATTAACGAAAGGAAGTCCATTCTTTCTTAATACGAATTAGGAAAGAAGACATATGCCTATTTTTATCCATGAAAACAGCAAATCAACTATTTGTTATTCCCGAATAACAAACGTCTTTAACGAATTTTCGCTAATATTACATAAAATATATTATTTTCAATTTATTAATAAAGGATACTATTCACGCACACACATATATAAATATTTATATATATAAATAATATATTATAAATTTGCTTGTTTAAGTTTTATTAAGCAATTATTTATCATTGCTTGTAATTATTCCTATATTTAACGGCATAAGGAACAGTTTTTTGTTATAATTAACGCATTTTAATAAAATATAAAGTAATTCGTATCTTTAAAATACCATTGTTTCGCATTATATTTTAATCGTCTAATTCACGTGCAATATAATATAGAAATAACTTTTCCTAATCAGGTTCAAAATGAAACTAATTTAGAGAGAGAAATGAAAGGCCATTTCCCAGTGAAACTTTACAATTTTACGTTCAGCGGTAGAGCCTTAAAGAACATTCATTCGGAAGTCTTGCGTGTAAGATAATAATAAAAATTATATTTAATTACTACTATAATCGATATAAATTGTTAATAATGAGAAATGTCCTTAATTATACCCAGGGCATACGAAATCCACATTTGCACTTTGGACTTTATAACACGAGCTTGAGTAACGTGCCAAGAGATATGTTTGCCTACGCGGATCTTGTAAGGAATGTAACAGTCGAAGTTCGAGACAGTGAGATAAAAACTTTGCAAAATCCATCCAACACGTATAAGCCAGCAGTATCAGGAAAACGATTTTTATTACGATTGCGCATGCGCGGTAGTCATGTTAACTGTGACTGCGATATCGGGTAAGTATATACAATTTTTATTTATATTTCATATGACATATATGAATAATTATGATTATGCTTGAATATGATTGAAGCGATGTTGAGATTAACGAAGCTACAAATTTTTACCAATAGACAGTATTGACAGATTTGACTCTATGGACTCGTATCACTGATTTAAAGTCTTTGTACATTAAATACAAAAGAAATTCCGTGAACAATATTAATAGAACGAGCTTCTAGAGAAAAGTTAATTTTTCAAAAAATTAATTTATTAATATACTAAAGATGAAAATTTATAACCACGTTTATAATTGAAATAGCTCATTCGTATAGCCGTCTTGTAAATTAAAAAATATGGGAAATTATATTGAAGGGAACGAGTGAGTCGATAATGGTGCGTAAATAAATAAAAATATCATCTAATTTGGCCAAAGCTAAAGTACGAAATTTGATAAAATAATCCTCAGTACTGTATACATTGAGATTTGTTGTTTATTTATAATGATATGTAAGATTGATTTACACAGGCTTTACGGAAGTGAGGGCCTCTGATAAATATTCTTCTGTTTAGGTGGATCGAGATGTGGCAAAGGAAGCACAGGCAGTACGAAGAAGACCGCTGCAATTCCCATACGGAATTGAACAATTTCGAACGTGAGGAAGGAAGTGAGTACGAGTGCTGGGACAACGGATGGGATGATGATTTGCGCGAGAGCTTTTGCGCCAATAAAAATAATATGTCTGTTGCGGAGGCACTTAAGTCCGACCTCGAGTGTGGCTGGTCTTCGGCTAATTTACTTCAACTGTCGAAATTTCTCGTTTTCTCTCTCCTCTCGATAATTTTTGCAGCTAATCGTTAGAGATTCTTTCGAACGAATTATTATCTCTGAACCAACCAAACCGAATTCAATATTACTCTATCAAACTATTAATTATAGTAATTTTTAAAACTCATTATGAGAACTAATATTTCTCAACTAACTATCGGCGTTTTCGCATTATTTATTTAAATGAATTCTGTTTAAATGAACATTTGTCTAAATGAATAATACAATTTGTAAATTCTTCCTCCATTAAGTTTCGGCATCATATATTCAGATGATATCACTAATAACTTTAGTGTAAAACAAATTGTAAGAGAATGATTAAACGCTTAAAAATTGACTTTACGTTTTTAATAATTGCATTTAATAATTGAGAATAAAAATGAATTTTTACAAAGCTTACTTTTTCCATTGATAGTAAATCTTTCTGAACATTACTATTGTATATTATTAAATTCAAAATTAGTCTTATGATTTCTGTACGTATTTTAGAATTTTTATCGATCTTAATATTGGGAAATAGAAATTTTTTTTTTTTTTTTTTTTTTTTCATACATGCTCTTAACAAAACAAAATTGAAAAAACTAAGTATTAAATAAACGGCATTTAAAATACTAATTTGATTATATTAAAATTTAGAGAAAAATAATATTCACATTTGAAAGGCAAATGCTGCATAATCGTTTCAATATTGTTTTACTAATTTCTATTTAAATCATCATATATTTACATTAATAGTCACATTAATTTGTCTTCACTTCCCAATAATATTGGCAGGTAATTCATTATCCAATAAGAGCATGATAATTCAATGCATATTAATACAGCATTCATATTGACTTGTTGTTTTTATTTAAATTTATAAATATATATCTAATTAAGAATAAATCCACTACGCCTAATCTCAATAATATGAACATTTTGAAAAGTAATTTTGATAATATTAAATATTTATTCATTTTCAGATGCAACCTAATTAATTATTGATTATAATGTAAAATTTTACGTATAACTGAATTATGTCTTAATTTAAGCCTTCAAACCAGTATTAAAAATCATTTTAATACTATAATTACCTTTCTATACTATTTTATGAAATCATAAAATGAAATAATTATAATTAATTCGTAATCATTTTTAGAGTCATTGTTATTTTGCTACATATTCGCAAAAATTGTGTAATTTATTTATCCATCTTCTACCATGGAAAATTGTTTAACTGATTTTAATATAACTCGCGTAACTTTTTAATGATTACGAATCTTAAGTTGTAATAAATAATTATTTAAAAATTTATCCAAATTCAAAAAAAAAAAAAGAAAAGAAACCTTTTAATTGTTTAAATAACAAACTATATTGACCTTAAATATAAAAAATAGCAGAAAACTCAAGCGAGGAATAAATTAATAGGCGATAATCTGCAATGATAATGACATTTTTCATACTGATCGATCATTCATTACGATTCTACAATTAATTTATCTGAACTTTAATAAAATTTAGTAACATTATATACAAATATATCGTCTGAATAATATATTTTTATGTAAAGCGCTTTAGAAAGTTCGAATGAATTATGAAGTATGAAATTCGGAATATAAACAGTGGAACAATAGAAAATATATATAAATAATAGGATGCGTATCATTTTTTTTTTTTTTTTTTTTTTTTTGTTGCCTTCAAAAATATAACATTAAAGATTCGAGTAAAATAAATTTTTACCTTCCATCTCAATTTTTATATTCCATTAAAAATTTAATTTAAGCGTTGCATCTGTATTATGATTAAAATAGTTCAAAGCTTCAAAACTAGAAAAAACAGCTTATTAATTTAGTAATGTATTAAAGTAAATACATATATTTATGAATATATTTACCGATGATTATAGTTTTTATTAATTTTGAATAAATACTTGGTAGCTCGTTATTTCATTTTATCTCTTGATTATTTGAAAATAAAAATTATATTAGACATTACATTATCTTCTTTAGATATTAATTAATGTAGTAAATGTAATTTCATTGGTAATTACACTTTTTTTGAAATATGATTATAAGGTGCTATGATTATTTAAAATTGTCATTAAAAAAAATTAACTTGACGTTGAAAAACCATACATTTATTAATTTAAAATATATTACACATTAGAAATTTTAATTTGGTAGTATTTTTTGGCAGATCATATGTATTTACGGTATAAATTGTAATTAAGTCACATAGTTATTCAAGTTACTAACATATAAATTAATGTATCATTTTGAATAAGTTTTGTAAGATCGTAATTTGTTATAAATAATCATATACGTAACTTATATCAATTAATTTTGTAATTATAGTATTAATATTAATTTCGAAGCCAGTGCTGTTATTAAGACCAAATGCGGTTTTAATAAGATGTACGATAAAATGAATTAATTAGTAATAAAATTTAATCATTCCTAAATCGCATATAAACATTCGAGTGATTTATTATTAATTATGAATGCAATGTAATTTCTATACAAACAGGTATCGAACATATTGACTTTGTATTGTATTGCTACTGTATTTTCATTTATATGTATAAATAACTGAAAAGTATGTACTTTAATTACAAATGTAACAGTTAAGTATAAGAAAAATATAGACTTTTAATATAACGAAGATTATAAAATAATTCATTTCATTTTCTTTCTGTTGCGACCAAATTTTTTATTTCTCTCCTACGTGCACGAGAATATATTCCAAACAATATCAAATAAATCGAATGAAATTTATATATATATATAAAGAAAAACAAAAATAATGAAAAATGCGAAATTGAAATTCAATCGTATAACATGATTTTTGAAAAAATTCCGAAAGACATGCGTATAACTGGTGAAATAATGAAACCAAATATAAAAATAAGACAGATATATATACTCAATACTTCCAAGAAAAATATTATAACTTTAAAGAGTACACGTTGGAAATCCGAAGTCTTTTTTATATCTATTATTTTGTCAAAAATGAACCTTATAATATGGAGAATTATCTGAAATTTTAATTTACGTACAAATGTGTAATTATATAGAATTATATGAAAATTTTAAATTACCTCTAAAATTGGTACGATATTCAGTAAAACGTAAAACAGCGTAAGTAAACAATGACCTATAGCTTGGCCCATAATTCTTATTAAAGTTGAATATGTATATTCTTCACGTGAAGTTCCGCGTGATTCTTGGTACTCTGCCAAGTAGTTTCTTATTCTTATTAATAAAGACTGTTCTTTATTTTCATTACTGCTCATAGAATTATCTAACGTTGAATTTTCTAAATTTAACAAGACGGACAATCGCACAATATAAAAAAAATACGTAACAAATATTATCCTTATTAAATAAATATATATTATATTTATGATTTAGGCTTTTTTAATTTAATGCCTAAAAGTTTCAAAGCCTGAATCTTTTTAATAAAAAGACTTTTATAATATCATACGAATTATATTTAAATATTAAATTATTCGTCACTTTTCATAAAAGTTGTTAAATTACGTGAAACAATTGAACTTTGATTTATTTGATATTATCTATTTACTTTGAAAATACACGTTTTGTGTAGAAATAAAAATTTTAAGCTTACGTAAGTAAATTAAAATAATAAGCTTAAGCAAAGAATACCTGTTTTCAAATGAGAAATTTCAAAATTGTCATTTCTCTCAACGTGATTTGATAAACTAAATAAATTGCGACGTTTCCACATTCTATTTTTTAAACAATCGCACGATTTATTTTCCATAATAGAATCAAAATTCACTATCTTAGAAGATTCTTGTACTTTTTTAAATTTAGCATCTCCACTGCAATCGCAAACATCCGATTCATCGCAAAAATCGATTCTATTAAGATCCTTGGACTCATCGTCGAATCTGTCTTTTGTGCTACTTTTTAATAAACGATCAATAAGAAATTTCTCGGTTCTACAATTGGTGTTTTCGTCAGACGATGAAACCTAATTGAAGTGGTTAATTTTGTAATTATGGGTTTAATCTATAAGAATTTTATATAAGTACCACATGTAGTAATTGTCCTCCTTAAAGTTTCTACAATTTTTGCATTGTAAAACAAAGAAGTATGAATTATTATTTGATGATAAATAAAATATATATATATATATTTTTATATACAATTTTTGCATAGAATTTTATTCATATAAAAACAATAATGAGCATCGATGTATTAATTTCATTGATTTGGTGTAAAAATTACAGATTATTTGCAAAACTTACATTTAGATTTGTTACAATTTTGTTACCATCTCCACATTCAAGCTGACTATGCTCATTTAGATCTGATTTACATTTATCAGTATTCATTGTATTTGAAAATAAATTTCTAACACCACAATTGACTTTCTTTCAATATTATGAATTTTACGAAAAATCTACATTGGCACTCATCAAAATAAAAAAAATCATTTTAAATTTATGGTTAAAGTTATTATTGAAATGAATTAACCATCAGCTATATTCATGTTGACACTAAAGAAACAGCTGACTGATATTACCGATACGAATATTTTTAGGTAAAATAAAAAGATTTGGAATAGTAAGCAATGACGGTTTATTATGTGAAATAATTTTTCATATTTAAATGATAAAATATATTAAATCTAAATAACAAAATTATCATATATATCTTGTATTAGTACAAAAACTATAAGATCATTGCATCTATATTAGTGAGACTGTTCATTAAAATCTTGGCTGGGGTCAGTGCATTATCTGTAAACAAAAGTATTATGTAATATTATTATTAAGAAGATAGATTAGAAATATCGCATACACGTTAATTTTATTCATACAGAAACATGAGTTTGTAGTAAAGTTACAATTTTCATTTCTTCAACTATTTTATTTCTAAAGAAATATCAATTATGCTTAGAAAATTATTTATATTAGAAACATACGATAATAGTGATGTGAAAATTTATCATAAACTCAAAATAAAATATAAATAAATATATATTCATTTAAATAATTTTACTTTTATGTAAACGAAATTATAGATGCTTAAATTAATCAAACGGGGTATATAAACATTTTTGTGTATAACATTTTTGATAATAATATATTATAATTTTAATCAAGAGATAGTTATAATTATAATTTACTTAATAATTATACTACAATATAATTCATTTATAATAAAAGAACGTGCATGGTTGCGGGAAACAAAGAGAAGCAGAAATACATAAATAATAAATGTACTTGCATTAGCAGAATGCACTATCATATTTCAATAGATTTGACTGAGTATTCATGATTGAATCATTTATTTTATTTTTTACTCAAATGGATTGATATCGTTTCACATTATTCTAAAAACTTAAGGTATAAAGAATACGAATAGCGTAAATACATTTATACTAACCTAATTGATACCAGACATCTTTATTTCCCGCATCGGCTCGCGCCGAATCCAGAGCGTGACGAATTGCAATTGGAACTGAACAGCTCAAGCACAATGGAGGCTCACCTATAGCTATAAAATAACAAAAATCTCTTTCTCTTATCACTTGAGACAAATTTTGACAAATAGAGAGAGAGAGAGAGAGAGAGAGAGAGAGAGAGCGATGAAAGAAATAATTGTTAAAACTAGAGATGAAATAACCTTTCGATCGTAGTATACCAACTGGATTTATTACTTTACGATTGAATGAAATTCGAAAGTCTATAGGTATATCCATCGCTCCGGGCACCTTGTAATTCTAGCCGTTGATTCCCCCCCCCCCATCATCCCCCCCCTCTCAAGAATGTTGCATACCATTAATTCCTCGTCTCCTACACAAACTCACCCAAGTTCTATAATTTGTCAAAGCTCCGGTTTCGGGATCGAATATCAAATCTTCGCAGGTCCAGTAGCCAATTCCCATAACAAATGCGCCCTCTACCTGACCAACGTCGATCTTGGGATTTAGACTAACGCCCGTATCCTCTAAAATGTCTACTCGACGGATCAGGTGCTGACCAGTTAAAACATCCACTTCCACCTCCGATACTGCAACAGCGTATAAAGGATAAGGCTTAAGCTCTTGATCTACCGTAAACCTATAATTAATATGTGAATTTTAACTACAAGTGTATATTGTAATTAGCAGAAGCGAATGATTGTCATTAAAATGTAAATTGTAAATAGTAGATATACTATAAATACTATACTATAAAGTAAATATACTATTTAAAAGAAAGTTCTTCGTAGCGGAAATAAGTTATGAATTGTTTGTAAATTGATAATTAATGGAACATGTTTTTTTTTTTCATAATTTATATATATATATATATATATATATATATATATATCAATTTTATAGAGAATTAATTAATGATAGTTATACATACATGAAGGAGGCACATAAATCAACATTTTTAGCTTGTGCTGTAAACACCAATTCCTGCCATGAAGGATTTCCTCCTAATATTTGTTTAATTGGTTCTAGCCTTTCTAAAAGTATTTTACAGGCCCTTTGGGTTGCCTGAAAATGTAAAAAATATAAAAAATTAGAAAAAAAAAAACTGTTGAACGCATGCATATGTTATAAAGATGTTTATGACATTTACTAACATATCCACAAGCATCCGTAGTAGTACTATTACCGGTTGCATAATTGTTTGGAGTTATTAAATTATTACTTGGTTTTACAGATACCATTTTAAGATCAATTCCCAATGTGTACGCTGCTATTTGCGCCATCTTCAATATTTAAAAAGAATATATATTATTTTGAATTTTTGTCGATAATAATACAATTTATGATCAAAGGTATTGTGCATATTACTTTGGTATGGATGCCTTGACCCAATTCAATACCACCATGTGAAACTGATACCGTACCATCTCGACCATAAATAGAAACTAATGAATTATAAGAACCCAATAGCACTACTGGATATTTCATCGGAACTAACGATATCCCACGTTTTTTCCAACGATTTTCCTACAAATATAAGGAACGTAAAACTAAATGGATAAAATTAATGGCTAAAATCTATTTACACTATTGAATTTTTCAATATCTTCTCGTCGTTTCTCATAATCAGTTGTGGTTTTTAATTTTGCAATCATTACTTCCAAAACTTCTTTATCCTTCGTATTCATATTCCTTATTTTCACGTCTGTAGGATCCTGTTTGGTTTCTCTGGCAATCCTTTCCATTATATTTTCAACAGTCGCTATCGCTTCTGTAGAACCTATTTAATATTTTTCATATATATATATATATATATATATATATATATATATATATATATCAATTCCAAATATATTAAAATATAGTTCATTGTACATAAATAAATTACTTTTTTAACATCATTCTATAAAAATTCTCTAACTCTAACGTAGAAAAACTTCAAAAGCAAATGAACAATTTTAATGTAGAATTTCTCTTATAAATAAAGTATTCCGACTTTAAAGCTCCGTCTACGAATTTTCAACGTTTTATGTCAAATTATATCAAACTCACCAGGTGCTCTGCACCATGTGTTGGAGGGTAAGTCCGACTTAACGTTATATCCAACAGTAGACCAGATCGATGAATCGTAGCAGCTGAAAAAGAACTCTAATGTGCCTATTATGTACTGATCGTTGAACGTAGAGCCACTATTGGCCCAATAAGATACGTCCATCTTCTGAATTTTGCCTAATTTATTCACGCTTAAATCGTATTCTGTATAAGATGGCACACGCTTCCCGACGGCGCGCATATTATCCTCGATCGACATTACCAAACGCGCCGGCCGATTTAGCTTGTGGCAAGCGAGTGCACAAGCACAAGCGACCAATGAGCCTCGCGTGAGTTTCGCTCCGTAAGAGCCTCCAAGTCTTCGTATTTTTATATTTATACTGTAAACATGAGAAATGCCAATATTGTATATACTAAGGACGCTACTAAGGGAGGAAAATTGAGCAATCGGTGACAGATCATTTATTTAGAGCAAGATATTATAGTACTGAATGCAATTATACTTATAAAATGTGCCTATGCGCGTATACTTCAAGTTTATCATTGTAGTTTATTTTTTATTCATATGAAGCGTTAATTTTCATATGTAATTTACAATATTTGCTGCAAACGTCTGAAATTATGATATCTGTACATATTGCCTTAGAGTATAAAAAGTTACTTTTCTTCTTAAAAATATCAATAAAAAATTAACAAAACTCCAACCATAGAAAATTAATCTTCTTAATTGTTAAATAATTGAGATAAACTTGCATAAGACTTTGAAGTGTTTATATATCCTCGAAGACACAAAATTTACGTTGAAATAATGTTTATCCATATAATATTGTAAATTTAATACTTCTGACCTATTAATTGGTACATTCAGTACATTGGCCACACTAGCTTGCGTTAAATCCATCCAATGTGTCGCTGGAAAAACATCCATACCATCTTCAACAGGTATACAAACACATATTTGTGTTTCCATTGAGAAATGATACTGCGGTCCAGTCTCGTACGATCCCTTTATATTGTACGCTATGTCTTTTCCTGATAAGACAATTATTATTAATTAAACACAGTCTAGCTGGACAAAATATACTTTTACAATATTATTGAAATACCAGCTGGTTGTGTCGCAGGTATGTCTCCTTGTTTGGATATTCGCGTTTTATCGTTACTCGCTATTACGTCGTGGACGGTGATTAAGGGCTTCGGCTTCGGTCCTTTTGGGTAAATAATTTTAACTTTTGACGCAGCTTCCTCGGCTCTCTTTTGCGACGTAGCGACAATCATTCCAAATATTTGTCCTGCAAACGCTATTTCCTTATCTGCAAAAAGCTATTTAAAAAGAGAAAATTAGATGTTACATTTTTCTATTTGGTGCATTCAAAAATGTTCTGAAATGCAGGAAGATTATACCACTTCGTCGTCGGAAAGAAAGTCAAACTTATTAGCAGAATTAATGAATGCATTTACCCCTGGAACATCTTTTGCGGAATAAAAAGCTATTACACCATCTATTTTCTAAAAAAAAAAAAATATTTTTTATATTTATATCCAGTCATTACTATAGTCTCGCAATAAATAAGTTAAAGAAATCCATTCGCAATACATCTATGTCAATAAAATATTTTCAAAGCATTATTACCATTGCTTCATCGCATTCGATTTTTTCAATCTTTCCAGGTGCATCGGCAATAGTCAATGCGCAAAAAACTTGTTGATCCTTCATAACGATGTCCCCTATGTACTCGGCTTCACCGGAAGTTTGATAAAGCGACTCGAGTTTTGGCACTGGCATATTAATAGGCCATAAATTTCTATTCGTGTCGTAGTCTTGTTTTCCCGATGATAATTCGCGTTGCAATAGCGCGGCGCCACTTTGTAACTTGGGACTCACCTTAGCTGGATCGATACTCAAGATAAACTTTATAAAAAAAACATTAAAAATATAAATTAACGATAGAACGTTTCAGTTTTTAATTTGATACTTTATGAGGATGACAAGTAAAATCAACGTGAACCTTGTAAAATAACGATACAGCGAGCAGTCTTCTAAATTCCGGTTTATAATCTGGTAAAATATAATCGGTTTTAAGTTCCGAATTAAGGATATTTAAAGACTTTTTTAATTCCTCGGTATTAAAAATAGATTTCCCAATTAAAGATTCTTCTGCCTGTGTTGCATGTAGCTATGAAACATAAATAATTTAAATAACGCTTTAACTAATTTGTTGTTAAATTTTTCAGCTTACAAATTCTGGATTTATTCCCCCAAATATTATGTTTGGTTTTTCCAATACTTTGCCATTACTGTCTAATTTGAAAAGGAAACCAGCGTTTACGATGGCATGTGCATTCTGCGCTCTAGGCATAATCTTTTTCATAGGTGGCGCATAAAAGAAAATGTAACAATTAAAATTAATTAATTAAAAGAAAAAAAAAAACAAAAAAAAAAAACAATTAAACTTCGATAGTTATTATGACATTGTTTAATTAATTAAAATATTCATTCATATATATATATATAGAATTGAAAAATTATATATAATTACTAGTGTTCAGCAAAGTGTGAATGAATTTTTTAATAATTACGATAATGTAGAGTAACAAAACTATATCTGAAGAATTCACATTAATAATCTAACCTTATATGTTTGATATTTATATTCTTCACTCATTTTTGGCAGCACAATACTATAAATCAATTTTTTATTCATATCTGTCTTTAAAAATGTATTTAACGTCATAATAGATTTCGCACCTAGTGAATCAACTATACATATATTGCATTAATGGATAATTTCTGAATAAAATACCTCACCAAAAGAATATTATTTATTACATACGAATATGTATTTGTGCCCCAGCAGCTTCGAATATTAAGAAAATATCGGAAGGAAAATTGTTGTGCTGGTTTTTAATCATTAAATTGCCTGCCACAGTTCCAATCTGAAAGAGTAGTGATACTAACAGAGATAGTGAAATGAAAATGAAATTTGAAATAATATTTTTTAAATTTACATTTCTGATCGGTATGCTTGCGACAAGATCAATATGTCTAGCCATGAATTTTAAATATCGAAAGCCGGGCTCTTTCAAATATTTTTCAAAATAACGTTTTGCCATTGCAAGGGTAATATTGCCACCCAAAGTCAATGTATCCGATTTCATTTCAATTCTATATAATTCTGCAACATTATTTATATTGATATATATTTGTACCTTTGGCAATCGATAAACACCTGCAACAAAAAATAAATACTTTTAATATACATGATATACATACACACACACACACACACACACATATATATATATATATATATATATATATATATATATATAATTCATGCAAATAATAAAGCACATGGTTAATTATATAAAGATAATGATAGATATAGAATAGATAATGAAAGCTACAGAATTTGTATTACCGTGGGCTGTATTCCCTCCATTTATTACATAAGATTCATTAGGCTTCTTTTTTCTTAGAATGTCAAATATTTCATTTATTGATAGAACTTCGTAATACCTTACATTATCTTTCAAATGTAATTCAATGAATCTTGGAATACTCGATTTATAAATAATTTCAATGTCCTCGCATTTACCGCTGCACATCTTTTCCGGACAATTTCTGCACGATTTTATCCGATGAAGCTCCTGAAATTTAAGAAGCCGAGGATTGGGCGTCGACTCGCGGGGAAAGCGATCGTCGAGGAAAGTGAAAAATCATTACCTCGATGTCTTTAATTTGGCTCTTCATGACCGGCGGTGCGTCAGTAGCGAAGCTCTTGAAAGTATCTAAAATTGGTCGGTAGCCGGTACATCGGCAAATGTTACCAGCGAATGAATTTTCAATTTCTTTCATGGTCATTTTGCCCTTTTCCATAAGGCTGCAACCATAAACATTATACTCGCACACTTGGCGAAACTTCTTCAAACGTTTGACCGACTTTAATGAATAATTAGTACCTGTGCATACTCATAATCCATCCGGGGGAGCAATAACCGCATTGCGAACCGTTCATTTCGGCCAAAGCCGCTTGAAGCGTGTGGTAACCGATTTGCCGATTCCCTAATCCCTCTATCGTCGTAATTTTCCAGCTGTTTCGGAAAATGATATTTAAAAAGTTAAAAAATATATATTGTATCGGATAATATCTTAAAAAAAATATGTCAAAATACTAATTTTATTCGTTCGGAATTAAGTTATATGTTAATAATAATGAAGTTGAGCTCAGATTTAAGAGAGAAAAAAATTCAATTTAAATATTATCCCCGCTATACTTTCCTTTTTTTTTTCTTTTCTTTTTGTTTTCTTGTTTCAAATGGTAGAAAAAAGCTTTGATCTACATTGTTCGATCATGTACTTCTCAATGGTATTTGCTATTTTAACAAACGAATAATTTTGCTGCCTTACTCATTACAAATATAAATTGGAACGAGACAAGAATTAACGGCTCGTATGTCCCCATGAATGTTCGCGGCGACGATGCAGGCGCCACACCCTCCTTCGTGGCACATTGCTTTCGTCCCTTTCAACTTAGCAGTTTCACGAATAAATGTATTTAAGGACGTGTCTATTGGTACTTCTACAGAAACTGTCGGCAACATTTATATTTTTGTCGGTTACATATCATTTAGAATACAAGGCTTATCGATAATAATTATAGAATATCTCACCTGTGTACATGACATCGTTAATTGTTACTTCAATAGGATAATTCTCTTCCATTCTGTTGCCTCGTTCTTTAACTCTGAAAATGATTTATATTGCAAAATGTATATTTATATGAGAAGAAAAGAAAGGCTCCAAATCTTTAATACACAGCTTATATAATTAAGAAAAATATTATTTTGCTAAAACAGATAAAATATGATATTAAGTTATGTCATATTTGTCGTAAGATTTTTCATAACTTATTTAAATTAAGATTTATCGATCTATATAATATCATCTATATATCATAAAATATATCATACCGAGGTTTATGATGCAGTCAAAAGTAGCCTGATTAATAAAATAGTAATTTTATAGTTTTTCCATTAAATAAACATACTCTAGATAATATAATGGCTGATTACTTATCATTTTGCACTTAGCAGGCGAATGAGATTTTTGACGAACGGCAATATTGGAATTACATTTTTCGTATAGGAATTGTAGATTAATGAGTTACAATTTATATATAAAGGACATTAGCTTTAATCTCGCAATGATTATAAAAAATGTTCTGACGCAATGAAACTTAATTTCATAAGTTATTCTGATAACTAATGATTTAATTGAATGATCTATTAAAGCAAACGTGTTTTTAAAAATTATAAATTTAATCGTAGCCTGTGGCTGTTCACTTTTTTTTTTTTTGTTTTTTTTTTAAATTGTTATTATTATTATCTTATATTAATGAAGTCGAAAAAATTTAGCTCATTTAAAGTTCTTTACTTTCATGCTACTTTATATATTAGGAGAAAAAAGCAATATATAGAAATTCTCCTTGCAAATTGGGCCAACCAATGTTGATTAGATAAAGATACGACTACGTATGTTCAAGATTACCATATACGGAAATAAACTAGGACCGCTATCGCTTGGTCTAAATTCTATAGCTCAGGCTCCGATGTTCATCCTTATTTATATCCTTATATATTTATATAATATGACACTGTCTTGCATTATTTGAAGCAAATTTCATTTATTTTAAATCTTTATTAAATAAAAATATATTTAAACATGCATTGAATTTATTGTTAAAATATAGAAATACAATATTTAAAGATTATCCTTGTGTTGTAATCACTAGAAGCGTAAACGTTTCACACCAGCTGACATAATTCTTTTAGGCAATAATCATGAAACATTGAAGTATTCAATTAAAAGCAGCATTAAATTATCTAATAATTAAAAAATTTGACTAACTTACTTGTTGCAAACATAAATATCTCGTTGATCCATTGTTTACCGTTGGCTAAGTAAATTTGTGCGACTAACTGCAGACGTTATTAAACGACGGTGAAAGCTTCTCAAATAAATTCTCCGCTCCTTAATACATCGTATTTTCACAATTATTCATTCTTAAATTCGCATTCAATATACTAGTGCTTTAACATAACCGAATATGAGCTAGAAAATTTAACTTAATTAATGAATACGCCGACCTGATGCGATCGCAACCTGCTGATCAGCGTTCCGAACTAATACTATTTGTATGTTCCGAAGATCAGTGAAGGTAAACTGGTCGTGCAGCAATGAGAAAAGAATATATATGCAAACAACTCAAGTAAAAATGTATATTAATTATGTTGCAGTAAGCTGGAAAACTGAGTGGATAAATTTTGTTGCTCGTTTTGTATATCTGGTTTTTCTAACAATTAAAGATTAAGATTTGCTATTTGAGATTGAAAGGCGACAGAAATAAGTGAACCGATAGTAGTTGTAAAATTTAAGATAATTGTATTTCTCAATTTTTCCAAAAATATTCATTTTGGTAATTCGTTAATTTTCTACATTATAAATTGAAGTTTTCGCTTTGAAATTTTCATAAAAATTTTATGAAAGAAAAAAAAAAAAAAACTAAGATAGTAAAGAGAAAAGCAATAAAGAAAGTGATGGTTGATCAACCTTAATAGCGGATAATATCGTGGATAGACTAAAAACTTAATAGAATAAAAACGAATTCAATAGGTTTCATTTATAAAAATGGCGTCACAAAAAAAATTTGGTAAGTTGTAAAAGTACCATATATCACTTATGTCTACATCACTGTCCCATATATCCAATTAAATTATTCTATATATTATAGCCATAAACGATATAGAAAAAGAGATGCAACATAAATTGTTAATTGAGAAATAAATTATTATAAATGTCGAGTATTGATGAGCATTGTGTAATTGTAGATAATGATCAGTATAGGTGATGAGAAGAGCCTAATTATTTGTTAAAATCTAAATAAACTTCAATACAAATTATTATATTGCATTTGCTTTGAGATTGCTTACAGTTTATTACAGTTATATTGTATGCACAGTTCAAAATTACATTGGCGTATCTTACATCTTTATCTATAATATTCATCTTGGAATTTCGTATCATTGGATTTTCCTTGCAAAATGTCTATGAAAATAATAGATCTGAAATTAAATAAAGGAGATAAATAAGAAAAACTGATCGCGATGAAAATATCCTTTGGTGAAGTAAAGTATAATACGAAAAATTATAATCCATGGTAGTAGGATTCAGTTTGTACAATCAACGCGAAGTCGCCATAAGTCGAGAGAGAGAGAGAGAGAGAGAGAGAGAGAGAGAGAGAGAGAAAGAGAGAGAGAGAGCACCTTATTATTATTATTTTACATGTCGAGAGTTCGAATTCTATAAGAGTTCACGATAAAGCATAAAGCTCCGTAAATATAAATTATGCAATTGTGCGTAAAGCATCGGTCACTTCTTAGTACTAACTATCATTTCAATATGGCTTCTCTTGCCTCAAATAATTTGTCGGTTTTAAATTGAGCGATAAATCTCATCTGGCTCTCGGCCAAATTCAAAATTTAATATCCACGACATTGTCGATCGAACGAATTCAACTATTTAATTGACATTACAAATGAATGCTCGAAGATGCGCTGTCGCGGTGAAGGCGTCAGTGAGGAAAGTTCGAGTTCTTTAATGAGCAATAAAAGGAGAAAATTCGTTTAGGAAAGGCCAATCTATCTATATACCAATCTACCGATTGCTTCGTTATTAACGAAATTACTTGGCGCGTTGCTCGATCATGTTCTTGTTGATCCTGTCGAGCTAGCCGAGTTCACTTTAAACATTCCTTATCCTCTACAAGCTACGCCGCTTTCTATCTTCAGTGACTAAATGCTTTATATTCTGTCTCTATTCAATTTCATTTTACTTTTGCCCGCTGTTTAAGAATTTACGTGTTTTTTGCTTTGTTTAGCGCCGTCTAATAATCATTTTAGCTTTTATACATTATCTATTTCTTCTTTTTACATTTCTGCATAAAGAGATAAATATTTGACATTAAAAAAGTGTCTAGTTATAATAGTGAGAAAATAAGAAATTATTAAGAGCGCATAAGCTACGAGCTGTTTGGACTTGTATTTATGTCAATGTATTCGTATGACGAAAAAAAAACCACTCGGAAAAGTACGTCTACTTTTACATTACATAATACTTTTACAAAATCTCAAGCTGAATACCACGCGTTTGTAATGTATTAAAAACTATTTAGCTTATCAGTTTTTAATATTAATTTTAAGCTAATTTTACTTTGAGCCTAGATTGTAATTATCTTTCAAAGCTTGTAAATTTATTGTCATTATTAATACAATAAAAAAATTAATTATCTGTTTGTACCTGTTTGTTGTCAGTGCTTATAACTAAACATAGAGCATACCATACGAATACATAAACTATGGCTTTATGGCTAATTATATGACTTGCATAATTACTTGATTTAACCAATTGCCTTTCGTGCAAAGATAGATTTTGGCTAATTTTAAATTAGAGCAATAAGTACGACCGTAGCTTTCTGAACTTCAGAAGCTTAAGAAAACAAAGCGGAGTTACCAATGGCGACGATCTTAATGGTCGACTTCGGTATCGATCATTTTGAGTGCATGGGTCCCGATATGTGGATCCTTTTACTTGCTAAAGATTCAAACGAGTGTCTGAGCGCCCTCTTTTACAGAAAAGTCTAGTGCCAACTTAGCTTCTTTCACTCCTTATTTAAAAACTAGTACTTGGTATCGCTCACTCGGTCACTTACTCTCGCGCTATCTGTGCTCTCTCAGCGCCGTAACATTCTGCGTTCACCCGAATCTCTTCGAACCTGTTTTGCACGGAACAAAAATAAGTGCAGAACTACGCGTGAGGTAAACTAGTTTTAGGCATTCCTTAAGGTAATCAATTCATACTTTAATGTTTAAATGTATTTAAGCCTTAAATACTATTGAAAAAAAAGTATATGTTTATGGCATTCAAATAAATACAAAAAGTAAATATTTTATTAGTAAATTAAAACGGCACATTATAATAATAAAAGTAAAATTTATTGTAGTAAGGAACGCTTGAAACGTTAAGTTTCATGAGACATTGATTTTCAAGCTTCACCAATATTAGTATCACCTATAATATCATTTCGTTTATATTTGTGAGGCTGTTCAGTAAAATCTTCTCTTGTGTCAAAGCATTATCTGAAATAATATTAATCATGTATAGTGTATATATTTATATGTATCTTTAAGTAATATAGATCTTGCATATTTATTGAATTTACTTAAAAGGTAATTTCAAATTAATTATTTTACTTGCGATTTATATTGTAAATATATTAAATTTTAGGTAATCCTCAATCATTTTAAATCGAAGCTGAAGAAATCTGAAAGACTTGCTATGTTAAAACAATTGATCTAAATATCTAAATAAAAACTTTATTACAAAATGCTAATTTTAACTTGCAGAAACATTAGATTTTTTATTAAAATATTGAGATGAAAAGTTCAACATTCTATATATATAAAAAAAAACAAAACTCTATATATATATATATATATATATATATATATATATATATATATATAAATCAATAAATATGAACAAAATATATAAAGTAATGCAAATACATGCAATAATACAAAATATGTAAAGAGAATCATATATTTAAATAATACACACAAATATATTTATGTGACATATTTGTAGTTTTTTCAAATATGTAACAGAAATATATTACTTTATATTAAAATCAATAATTAACGTAAATTGATCGAATAAGAGGAAAAACTGTTGTATTTATACTAACCTAATTGATACCAGACATCTTTATTTCCCGCATCGGCTCGCGCCGAATCCAGAGCGTGACGAATTGCAATTGGAACTGAACAGCTCAAGCACAATGGAGGCTCACCTATAGCTATAAAATAACAAAAATCTCTTTCTCTTATCACTTGAGACAAATTTTGAGCCTAACCCATATTTAAGAATAGAGAGAGAGAGAGAGAGAGAGAGAGAGAGAGAGCGATGAAAGAAATAATTGTTAAAACTAGAGATGAAATAACCTTTCGATCGTAGTATACCACCGTTGATTCCCCCCCCCCCATCATCCCCCCCCTCTCAAGAATGTTGCATACCATTAATTCCTCGTCTCCTACACAAACTCACCCAAGTTCTATAATTTGTCAAAGCTCCGGTTTCGGGATCGAATATCAAATCTTCGCAGGTCCAGTAGCCAATTCCCATAACAAATGCGCCCTCTACCTGACCAACGTCGATCTTGGGATTTAGACTAACGCCCGTATCCTCTAAAATGTCTACTCGACGGATCAGGTGCTGACCAGTTAAAACATCCACTTCCACCTCCGATACTGCAGCACCATAAATGAGATATGATTGTAGATCCTGTTGATCTACTGTAAACCTTCGTACAACATATAAATGTTGATGATTTCTATATACGATGATTTACATTTATTATATAGTTTTGTAGACTTTAATAAAAAAAAATATACAAGAAATGGCTTCAAATGATTAACGAGCGTTTTTTATTCAGCATTTTATTTAGAGCTAAATAATTCCAAAGAACAAGGTTTACTCGCATATTGATAAATTTAGAAAGATATTTTAAAGATTTACTACGTAGACTATAAATTTTAAGTTGAATGCCTTATAAAATTTAAAATTGAAAAAATGGTAAAATTTAAAACTATTGTTGTTACATGTTTCTTATAAAATTGCAAATAAATTATATAAATTAAAATGAACAAAGTATCTTAATTAATGATAATTATACATACATAAAGGAGGCACATAAATCAACATTTTTGGCATGTGCTGTTAGCACTAATTCCTGCCATGAAGGATTTCCTCCTAACATTTGTTTAATTGGTTCTAGTCTTTCTAAAAGTATTTTGCAGGCCCTTTGGGTTGCCTATGCCAAAATGATAAAACATGATTAATAATATTGAAAATCATGTTGAAATAGAAATCCCATCGATGTGACTTACATATCCACATGTATCACTGGTTAAACTACCCCCGGTTACAAAATTGTTTGGAGTTGTCAATGAATTAGATGGTTTCACACTCACCATTTCCAAATTTATTCCCAATGTATATGCCGCTATTTGTGCTATCTTAAACATACGGATAAAAATGTTAATTTTTCATTCAGAGTAACATTCAACGTGTAAAGTAAATTTGTTCACGACAATACCAAATTTTAGAATACAACTTATTTAATAATGAGTATCTCACTTTGGTATGGATGCCTTGACCCATTTCAATACCAGCATGCGAGACTGATACCGTACCACCGCGTGCATGAATTGAAACCAAAGAATGATGCTGACCATATATTCCAAGAGGATATTTCATGGGTATTAAAGAGATTCCGCGCTTTTTCCAACGATTTTCCTAAAAGAAAGGTGCTTATAGAAATTGAAACCTTTCGTGCAAATGATAATTAATAATTGAACATCAGATACATTATTAAATCTTTGTATATCCATTTTACGGTTTTCATAATCAGCCTTTTTTTTTAATTCATCAATCATTTCGGATAAAATTTTTCTATCAGTCTCATTCATATTATTCAACCTAACTTCAATGGGATCCATTTTTGTTTCGCTAGTAATTCTTTCCATTATATTTTCTATCGATGCCACAGCTTCGGTTGAACCTGGTTTACGTATCGTCCGAACAAATTTATTCACTTAATTAATTGAATAATATATGCAATTAAATATTACCATTCGTGCTTAGTTAAAAATATACCCACATTTTTATTATATTATACTCGTAGATTTGAACTTTCACAGTTTTCGTAATACATATTTTTTAAGTGAAATCTTTAGGAAACATTTGTAATTAAAAATATCAATACTTGAAATAATTTCATTTCAATTAATATATAAATGTACTTCAATAATTGCGCATATATATATATATATATATATATACATTGTTCATAATAAAAGACTAGTTTTGTCAGTGAAAATACATATTGCTGTGTGCGTGTATGTGTAGGTGTGTGATGATAAAATATCATATATTGTAATGATTCAATGCCCATGCGTATGCGTTTCAAGTAGTGAGTATCTTTTAATATTCTTTTAATAATCATTGGTTTGAGAATCTCTTATAATATGCTATTAAGCGATGTAATCGTTGGTACATTGTTTGGTAAAGTAAGGCTACTACGGCCGCCGAGACTTACCAGGTGCTCTACACCATGTATTCGACGGTATGTCTGTTAGGACATCATTTCCAATAAAAGACCACGTGGACTGATCGTAGCAATTGTAAAAATGATTGGCTACGAATAAGGAGCTACTTTCATTGAAGGACGAGCCGAGGTTGCCCCAATAAGTGGCATCGAGCTTTTGAATTTTTCCCACTTCGTTCACGTGGACGCCGTACTCGATGAAACAAGGAACCCTTTTACCAATAGCGCGCATATTATCCTCGATCGACATTACCAAACGCGCCGGCCGATTTAGCTTGTGGCAAGCGAGTGCACAAGCACAAGCGACCAATGAGCCTCGCGTGAGTTTCGCTCCGTAAGAGCCTCCAAGTCTTCGTATTTTTATATTTATACTGTAAACAGAAAAAATTGTAAAATTTTTTAATTTAAGGATTTTTTTTTTTTTTTTTGTTACAAGAAACTATATGATCCGTTTATAATTTATAATTGTTTATTCGACTTATTTGGATACTTATAACATTGTGTCATCGCCTTATATAAAATTTGAAAATCCATTCTACTAATATATGCTATGTAGCCTATGCGCTAAGTAAATTTTTTGCAGAACAATCATTCTTTAGAATCTCAAAGCCTTAATATAAAATATAAAATATTTTCAAAATTTCTGTCACACATTAAATGGCATATTCTCGTAGTTCAGTATTTTCTTTTTAATTAAAAATAATGGCCTCGTTCTTGTCTCACAAGCTGTTGCTTTAAAGTTAATTAAATGAATAAATAAATTTCTAATAATAATTGCAATTAATTAAAATTTATGTACATCTAATAGAGTTAATATTCTTTTTTCATTGGTCTACAAAACTAATTTAATCTCAAATTCTAATATAATTAATGCGTTCTATTGATTAAAGATACGATAAAACTTAATGAAAAAAAAAAAAAAATAAATAAATAAATAAATAAATAAAACAGTTAATATTCATTAATATAAATGAATTTTTCCTTCATTTCTTGTGGCTGTACAAGTGAAGCTAAATCAATATATTCAGAAAAATTAAAATTTCTAACCTATTAACTGGAATATTAAGTAAAGTAGCAATGTTATTTTGTACTAAATCCATCCAATGTGTCGCTGGAAAAACATCCATACCATCTTCAACAGGTATACAAACACATATTTGTGTTTCCATTGAGAAATGATACTGTGGTCCACACTCGTATGAACCTTTGATTTTATATTTTATATCAGTTCCTATTAATTATATATATTTATCTTTTAGCCTATTATCTTAACAGCATAATAAATAGATTAAATCAATTTGTTACAATGAATTACTACAATACCAGCTGGTTGTATTGCGGGTATGTCTATTTGTTTGGATATTCGCGTTTTATCGTTACTCGCTATGACGTCGTGGACGGTGATTATGGGCTTCTGCCTCGGTCCATTCGGATAAATAATTTTTACTTTTGACGCAGCTTCCTCGGCTCTCTTTTGCGACGTAGCGACAATCATTCCAAATACTTGGCCTGCAAACGCTATTTCCTTATCTGCAAAAAGCTGTTGAATAATAAAATATTAGTTTTTTTGCTTAAGGATCTATGTGTTTTCTAATTAAATAAAAGCATACTAATTCATCGTTATCTAAAAAGAAGAAATGATTATCCTTGTTGAGGAAGGCATTTTTCCCTGGAATGTCTTTTGCAGAATAAAAGGCAATTACACCGTCGATATCCTAAAATATTGTTCAAAATCTATTGTAATTAAAAGTAATATTTTAAGCTAGAAATATTGCTTACGAAGTAAGGAATAACGAATTACAATCGTCATTATTACCATTGCTTCATCGAATTCGATTTTTTCAATCTTTCCAGGTGCATCGGCAATAGTCAATGCGCAAAAAACTTGTTGATCCTTCATAACGATGTCCCCTATGTACTCGGCTTCACCGGAAGTTTGATAAAGCGACTCGAGTTTTGGCACTGGCATATTAATAGGCCATAAATTTCTATTCGTGTCGTAGTCTTGTTTTCCCGATGATAATTCGCGTTGCAATAGCGCGGCGCCACTTTGTAACTTGGGACTCACCTTAGCTGGATCGATACTCAAGATAAACTTTATAAAAAAAACATTAAAAATATAAATTAACGATAGAACGTTTCAGTTTTTAATTTGATACTTTATGAGGATGACAAGTAAAATCAACGTGAACCTTGTAAAATAACGATACAGCGAGCAGTCTTCTAAATTCCGGTTTATAAGTTGGTAAAATGTAATTAGGATCCACTTCTGAATTAAGAATAAATAAAGCTTTTTTTAGATCTTCGACATTATAAATGGATTTTCCTACTAAAAATTCTTCTGTTTTTGTGGCATGTAGCTACGAAACATATATAATTCAAACAACATATTATTTAATTATTTAATATTTTAATATTTATTTTATTAACTTACAAATTCCGGATTTATTCCTCCGAATATCATGTTTGGCCTTTCCAATACCTTCCCATCGCTGTCTAATTTGAAAAGAAATCCAGCATTAACATGAGCATAGGAATTTTGTGCTCTAGGAGAAATCTTAAAACAATAATAATATATTGTAAAAATATAAATATATAACAAATACACGCAATATGGAAAATTTTATTGAAAAAATTATTATATTTATATGGTATAATTATATTATTATTAATGACGGCACTTCATAAATTACTCAAATTAATAATTAAGAAATGGACATTTAAATATTATAATAAAATAAAATTATTTTAAGTATTTAATATATTTAAAGTACAAATTATGTTTGAATAATGAAAATGAAAACCAAAATGATTACCTTATACGTTTTGTATATGTATTCTTTATTTATAGCAGGAAGTACAATACTATATAATAATTTTTTGTTCATGTCCATTTTCAAAAATTCCATTAATGTCACACTAACTTTCGATCCTACCGCATCAACTGCAAAGACAAATATTACTATATTACTTTGGATATTTGCAAACTTTCATATTAAAAATCATTGATTGATTGAATTATATACCAGTCTAATATTTATGCTAATGGCAATTTTTCAATTCAATTCAATCTAATTTAATCTGTAGAAAAGCTATAATGTACGAAATTAATATAATCATTCAAAAAAAAAAGTAGAAAAATATTCGATAACTCCAATTTAAATTGGTATCAATTTTTATTTCTAGCATACAAAAATATTGTAAAACACGTGCTTTATTATAAATTAAAAATTCCAAATAGTTTTTGTAAAAAAAAAAAAAAAAAAAAAAAAAAAAAAAAAAAAAAAAAAAAAATGATAATTACATGTACAAATTAGATTGTTAGGAGTAAAAGATTTTAGCGATCTTGAATTCCTAAAAAATTGCACGTATTAATATATATAAAACCTGTAAATAATAATCAAATGTTTTCTCACGTATATGTACTTGCGCCCCAGCAGTTTCTAAAATCAAAAAAATATCTGAAGAAAATTGAGGGTTTTTATATTTAATCATTAAATTTCCCGCCATTGTTCCGATCTACAAGTTAATGAACACATTTATATTTTTATGTACAATTATGAAATCAATTTTTCAACATTTGAATTTTATACTCACATTTCTTATTGATATGCTTCCAACAAGATTAATATGTCTACCCACACGTTTTAAATATCGAAATCCACGATCGTTCATATATTTTTCGCAACAAGCTTGCAGCATTGAAAGAGTAATATTAGCTCCCATCGTTAAGGTTTTTTTTTCCTTTTCAATTTTTTGTAGATCTATAACGTCATTGACGTCGATACATACTTTTACATGTTTCGACCGAAAAACTCCTGATTCAGGTGTAAATAGATATTTATTATTAACAATAGATCTATAAGTAATTGTAAATTAATAGAGCCAAATAAATCAATTAAATTAATTAATGTTTAAATACCGTGAGCTGTGTTGCCTCCATGAATTACATACATTTCTTCTGGATGTTTTTCAAAAACCATAAATATATCCTTTATCGTTAAAACTTTATAGAACTTTACATTATCTTTCAAATGTAATTCAATGAATCTTGGAATACTCGATTTATAAATAATTTCAATGTCCTCGCATTTACCGCTGCACATCTTTTCCGGACAATTTCTGCACGATTTTATCCGATGAAGCTCCTGAAATTTAAGAAGCCGAGGATTGGGCGTCGACTCGCGGGGAAAGCGATCGTCGAGGAAAGTGAAAAATCATTACCTCGATGTCTTTAATTTGGCTCTTCATGACCGGCGGTGCGTCAGTAGCGAAGCTCTTGAAAGTATCTAAAATTGGTCGGTAGCCGGTACATCGGCAAATGTTACCAGCGAATGAATTTTCAATTTCTTTCATGGTCATTTTGCCCTTTTCCATAAGGCTGCAACCATAAACATTATACTCGCACACTTGGCGAAACTTCTTCAAACGTTTGACCGACTTTAATGAATAATTAGTACCTGTGCATACTCATAATCCATCCGGGGGAGCAATAACCGCATTGCGAACCGTTCATTTCGGCCAAAGCCGCTTGAAGCGTGTGGTAACCGATTTGCCGATTCCCTAATCCCTCTATCGTCGTAATTTTCCAGCTGTTCCATAATATTTGTATAAATATGTAAAACCAATGTATTCTTATTCTGTTTGTATAAAACTCAATAAATAAAACATTAATTTATACTCATGTTAATTGTTTACAGTTGTAGTAACTTAATGGAACGATACAATTTTTTAAATTATGCTATATAAAAGAATTTGAAAACATATTTATATATAAATATATAAATATGTAAAAAATTTTCAACAATAAAATTATTTTATTTTTTAATAATTTAATGTGTATTTGTTAAATATTTATCATAAGATGTGTGATAGATAATAATAGGCTTTATTTTCTAACTTCTTTAGCTTTTCAAAAGGACTAGTATTACATTAATAATATTAATAATAAATATTATAAGTAAAGAGAATATGCAAAATTTAGTTTATGAATTATATAAAGAATTATCAGTTCATAGTTTTCAGTCTATTTAATTTTTTTTTTCAAGTTTATTATCTAAGTAGGAAAAAATTAAATTGACTAGAAAAATGATTAAATATATCAATAACTATCAAAAGTATTCACAATATTAACAATTTTTATTTATACTTTGTTTTTTTAATGAAAATTTATTGAATTGTATAGTTTTAAATAGGCACCGGAAATAGTATTAAAAGATAAAATATTAATTTAAAAAATTTTTCTTTGTTCATTTAGTATAACGCCGGTGTTTTTGTAATTAACTAGTGACACAGTTTAAGTAATAATTATTTGACTTTCAAGCCAGATGTTTGTACAAGAAATTTTATATTTTCATAATTATTTTTGTTGAAAATGTTTAATATAAATTTGTCACCATTTTTTAATGATATTTTTCTCAAATAATGCACTATATTCATTTTCTTTATAAATTAAAAACTTTTTCTAAATTTAATTATTTTGTAAATTGTTAAATTAATATTATGATCAATAAAAATATTACTATAAAAATTGTTACATCAAAACTTTATTTATAATAAGTATCATCGCGTCAATTAATATATACAAAATCATAGCTATTGGTAATTGAACGTTTAAAATTGTTATGACTCGCGAATACGAAATAGGCTTAGACTCGAATCTTTTATAATCTATGTGTATTTAAAATACATTAAAAATGTCGGAAAGATTACATTTATAAGCCAGTTAGAAAATATTGCTTTATAGAAAACTAATAATATTGTTCATTGACATAGCACATTTTAATTAATGTATCAATTATTTTGTAGAGATTATGTGTAGATTGACACTCGTATTTTGAATCTTATGAATGACAATACCAAAATTATTGAGAAGAATTTTGTAGAAAAAACGAATTTGAGCGGTTTACGCTCTCTAAAAATTAATTTGATATTAAATATATATATATATATATATATATATATATATACAAGTAAGAATAATAACAAGGAAATGTTGGATAGACTGTAAACTTCGGACATAAGGATAAAAAACAGAATGTAAATGATAATTATAGATATTAATGATTTCAAATCGTAATAAAAAAAAAATTAAATAAAATAAAAAAAAAAGCCAATGCAACAAGTAAGCTCCTTAAACCGCGTTGATTAACCGATTATTTATTACAGTCAAGTAATAAAAAATAATGACGATTCAACATAACAAGCTGCTAAATGCATATTATCCAACGAATGCTGACTCATGATACATATAGTGAAGTCTTTCAAACTGGCCTGTTTACAAGCATCTAAGTACTAATGATGTTGCTCGATCATTATTTATAAAAGTATACTTAAAATAGTAACATAAGCTTAAGAAGCGACAACCTACAATGTAACGCCTGAGAGTTCTTCGAATGGAAAGGGTTGATAACAATACTATAATTTGCGCTTTTAATGATAGTTTCTGTAGAATTATGAATATTACGGAACTGCTTGGTATGAATATTGAATTATATCAATATTGAATATCAATATTATATCAATTATATCAATATTGAATTGCGACATTAATGTCTAATGAGTCTAGAAGGTCGAGTAATTATTTAATTCGTTATTACAGTAAATGACAATACCGTGGTAATGAAATAATTTATTGAAAATATTGTATTAAATAAAATCATTTATAAGAAATAATTCATAAAAGTATCATTCATCGCATTGATTTCAATCTCAATAATTAAATTAAATTTTCTTTTTTTTTTTTTTTTTTTTTTTTTTTTTTTTTTTTAGTTATTATATAAATTGTAAACATTTATCATTTAAGATAAAAATTATGAATAAGCTTTGAATTTTCTGCTAATAAACTACACGGCATTTCAGAATATATTACAACTTACAATACCTTTACGAATAAAGGTTTATACAACAGATTATTTTAAAAATTCTATGTTACTCCTCATAATAATCGTAACATGGTAAAGTAATGATAGATAGAAAGAAAAGGTGATAGCAAAATTTTATATTTAAAAATTGAACAAAAATTAATAGACGAAAGAGGTAGGTTTAATTGTACATCTTACCCATCGCAAATAAATATTGGAACGAGACAAGAATTAACGGCTCGTATGTCCCCATGAATGTTCGCGGCGACGATGCAGGCGCCACACCCTCCTTCGTGGCACATTGCTTTCGTCCCTTTCAGATTAACAATTTCACGAATAAAGACATTTAAAGTTGTATCGATCGACATATTCATACTGACTGAGAACAAATTTCTTATATATATATATATATATATATATATATATATGTTTTGTATTTCCAATTGCAATATCAATATCGATAATAATTATACAATAAAAAACTTACCTTTATACATAATGTTATTAATCATCACTTGTACACCCAAATTATCGTCAACAGTTTTTAATTCCCTGACAATGAACATAGATATAATAAGAAAATTACAATCTGAAGATATTTATATTTTCTTGGTAAAATACTTTAATAGTAAATAACATTATTATTTAAATTTTAAACAAATATGAAGCATGTAAATTTGTATAAAAAGAAAAATTATCATTACATTATATTGTTATATATTTTAAGCCTAAAATTGTTTGATCATTGAAAAAGACAGTTTAATTTGCTCTTCTTGAAACAAATTAATGACGTAAATGAATAGATCTATGGATATAAAAATTACATCAAGGATTATTAAACTAATTACCAGTTACCAGCTTATTACCAAAGGATGCTAATTTGCTCAACAAGCTCATATAAATTATATCACTTACTCTGTGCAATGAAATATCAAACTATAATTTCGAGAAAATCTATGAGTATGACTTACTTGGTAATTATAACTCGTAAATATAGGCAAATTATATTCTTAATGGAAGACAATAATATTAAGATTTCATTTATTTTATATCCATATTCAAATAAATTTTAGTGTAAAATAATACTGATCATATCAAATTTTTATTGAATTTTCAATTTTCTAGCAGATCTTGCCCATTTTCAATTAAATGAAAAAGTCATTAAATACATTTTTTTAAATAATATGTTATTTCCTAGTACCAATATTACACATTCCATAATGAAGAATATTTCACAAGAATATATAATTTTCAACGAATAAGTTATTTAAATAACTTATATGCTGTATTTTTATAGATACTTTGTGTTAAAATTAAATGAAATAATATTAGTTTCTTACCCATCGTAAAGAAACATCATTTCTTTGTGAGCCATTTTTAAAATACTTATATCAATTTCCCTCGCAATCCTATAATATACTAGTCTAGAAATTTAATATTTACGTAAAGTTGTAATTTCATTAAATTTAAACAATTTATTAACAAAATAAAAATTTATTTTATTAAAAAATTTTTCTTAGCAAGTAAGACTTTTCACAAGGATAACGATTGGTTCTCACTAATTTCTGTAATGTAAAATTTTAATTTATATGTTATCCTAACAAACTCGCCAGATCCAACTGAAGCTCATTTTAAACACAAAAAATGACATTTGTCAGAAGCACATAAGTTCATATAACGACTGAACAATGGCTTAATAGATTTCGGTGGGGGATTTGGATGTGGAGAGGGTAATTATACTATGCATATCTAAAGATATCTTCATAAATAATGGATGAAAAAATTTATTATATAGTACGAGTGAGTTTATTATTTAGTAAATGATGAAAAGTAGATGAATAATTATGTAGACGTAAGATTTAAAACACTAATGATTTATTTATAAAAATAGAAAATAATCTTTAAATTAATAAAATCTTCAACTTTGAAATATAATAATAAAAAATGAGAATGCTATATATTTAAGAATTAATACAAATTTAATATTTATTCATAATATTATAAAATAGTTTTAATGATTAAAGTTAAAAATTGCAGTTTGAGTGGAATTAATTTTAGAAAAATTAATAGAAAAAAAAAAAAAAAAAAAAATTGAATATCTATTACAGATTGTCCCCAAAAATAACTCAATAAAATTTAAAAGATTAGATTTCATTATAATTATATATAATTCATACTAATTCAATACAATTAATATTTTAATACAAGCATAGATATTATAATTCGTGTTAATTGTCCTATTATGATAAAAAAAAATATAGGTAATTTGATCGTAAATTAAAAATAATAATACATAGACACAACAATTTTACTATTATTTTCAAAATATTTAAATTACTTTATAAAATATATCATAAGTTTCGCTCAATTTATTTAATTTGTATACTAATAATTATGTTATTGATATTTTGTGAGTGTATAGAGATAGAAATGCTTTTCTATTTTTGACAAATTGCATCTGGAAGTAAAATATAATTAGATCAATATAATTAGATAATGTTACCATTTTTTAAATTTTTAATTGTCGATTTAACATTTAAAAATACTTTAGATGCTTAAAACTACCAATCATCGTACAATTAAAAAATTATAGCTGGACAGTTTATAGTCTTACAACTGTAAGACAACAGTAATTTCGTATTTCTTCCAAATGTTACAAATATATCATCAGCTAAAAAGTTCTTTGTTATGCTAAATAATATAAAAGTTATAAGAATTCATTGCCCGAACAAAATGCTCAGTTAATGTGCAATGCAAATAATATTGTACATCTTTCAATCTATAATAATATGAATCAAACTTGACCAAAAAAGAAAAATGCTACTATTTATTTTATCATTCAATTTAATTATTAAATTAATATAATCTTAAATTTCATTTAAGATTAAAATTATATAAAATCGAGTATTTTTAACTAAATATTAAAACCAAATTTATTTTAGATTGTTAGATATATCCTTGAAATATGAATAATTAGACAGATTGTTGTTATTGAGAAAATTAGTTTTATATATTAGCAAAAGGATTTAACGAATTCTAATGATGACGAAAAAGGAAATTAAAAGATTTTTTTTTTGCTTTTTAATTATATTTATTTCATAAAATATTTAATACAATTTTCAATATTCACAATTAATTAACACGCGATTTTAGTTATTTATAATTTCATTCAATACATATTTGATATATGATTTGTAAATGCACACTTTTTTGACATAAAGAAAACTTAAAAACGTCTAATATAAATCACAACTTTATTATTTTCTAGTGTTGTTGCACAATAATAAGTTTAATTTAGAAATAATTTAAGGTATGAATTTATTAATAAATTATTAATATTTGAATTCATAAATGATTTCTCAAACAATATATAATTAACGTGAAAATAATTATGATATTATGTTAAAAATCAATCTATTCTTTTATAGAATTATTTATGCATTTTATTTCCTTGATGTTTTATAAGTTATTATAAAATATAGACATGTAATAATACAAATATATACATGTATAATGAAGGTTAACGTATTGTTAATTTCCGTATGTTCAGATACAAATATATACATGTATAATGAAGGTTAACGTATTGTTAATGTTAAAAAATATATTGGTAAGATATATTTTAATTTTGTTTATCTAATTTAAAATTCGAACATCGTTTTTAAAAAAATATTACCAGTTAACATACTAACTCAACTAGCTTTATAATGTCTCTGGTCAGAGTAAAAATATATTTTACATATTTGTATAATTTTAGAATTCTATAAATATATATTTATTACTTCTCACTCTTTATTTAAAAAAATAATGTAACAATAATATTTAATAAGTTAAAAGGAAAAAAAAATTTATTTTTATTAAAATTTTTAGTAAAAATATGATAAATTCTGAAAAACTGTTCACTTGATAATATTATAATTATTATAATATTTAATGCATCTATAAAACTATAGAAATGCCAATAGAAATGACATTTATCAGGTTTTCATTAATAAAATATGCCGATTGGGTCATTTAATACAATTCTATCTATTATATATCAAATTCATAAATTTTTTGTTGTTGCTCCAATCATTGTGTATGTACTTTATAGTAATAATTCTGAATGCATCGATCTTGCATAATATTGTTTTATTGCATAAACGATGAAGCAAAAGAAATATCGTTCAATGCCTTTATTATAGCATAACATAAAACATTATTCTAATTCCAATATATATATATATATATATATATATATATATATATATATATATATATATATATATAAATGAAAACTATAAAACCAAGAACTAAATTACGTGTTCACAAAATAACGTCGCTTAAATATTTACTTTTATTAGCATTTATAATTTATGCTAAAACAAATAAAAATGTAACATATATTCTTCGTTATTTGACTGACTCATGTTTGATTTCGTAACAATAACTATAATAGAACACAATGAAATTTTAAAATATTTGATCTTTAATATCCTTTTTGAGGGCGGAACGTAATAGCGTATTACGCATCGATGACACGAGTTTTTCTAATTCCTCAACCTTCATTTTTAGTACTCTATTATCTTTTTCTAATTCAATCGCTCTTTTTGCCATCTCTTGCTCTTTCGCTTTTTTATTCATTCTTGACTTACGCGATGCCTCGTTATTTTTTTCACGTGTGTCGCGATAGCCTTCATCGTCAGATTCTGTTTCATTACTCAGCATTCGTTTTCTACCCTTACTTCGGGACATATCGGTATTATTACAATTAGAATTAATGTCAACAACGTGCTTTGGTATTACCGATTGCTTCTTATCGGCTGATTTTTCAGATTTTTCTAGCTTAACGATAGTCCGAAGATGATACGAAGACGAGTGGCTAAATATCGTTGGCGCTGATGATGTCGACGAAATCGGAGAATTAGGACTTTCTTGCGAACGAAGCGAATTGGGTACTGAAGATGTTGAAGAAATTGCAGAATTTGGACTTTCTTGAGAGTGAGATGATACCTCCTGCCTTTGTAGTGCAGATTTTGATGGGTCGTCAGTCGTTGTAATGATGGATGAAGTTACTGGTTCGTAGGTTTTTGGCAAAATGTCCGTAAGTACTGAAGAACTGGTCCATTTTGATAAACCTTTAATGTCTTGGGAAGAATCCGTTGATACACTGTCACCTTGTGACGAATTATTGCCCTGGAATATTAAATTAAATTAAATTTTCCCCCCTTTCTTTATAAAAAAAAATTTACGTAAACATTATCTATGTGTTATAACGTGCAAAGATAGCGCATATAATTTCCTAAAACATTATAATTTAATAAAAAAAAAAAAAAAAAAAAAAAAAAAAAAAAAAAAAAAAAAAAAAAAAAAAAAAAACTA